GACCACTTCCAGATGAAGTTGTTCAAGCATTGGATGAAGCATGGAGTGTGACTCGTACTATTGCAAAAACGTATTGGAGATAGACAAATAACTTCTATATTCTTTTTTTCTAAGGAAATATAACGTTTTTGCAAAACAAAAAATATATGCGGCTGCCAAAATATTTTATTATGAACTATTTAGAGAGAACATTAGAGAATAAAATGATATTGCCCGGTAGATGATGGCGTCAGCAAACCGCTTGAAAACGGGTGAGTGAGTGTAATAAATTCAAATTGAAGAAGAGTATGTCAGAGAGAAAAATGTACGTTTTCACAAGACAATATAAATAAGACCTATTTCTGAGAAAGAAAAAAAATAAGATAGAATATCTCGTTCTACTACAACGTGTCTCTGCTAGAGCACATCAAATTGCTTTCTGATTCTATGCACCCACACTCTGAGCATTTCATTTCAGAGCTGTATACGATCTCCAAAAATCATTTGCCTCTCATATTTATTCACAAATACAGTATCAAACATAAATAAACATATTAAAAAAACATTCGATATTGTCAATCACTATTTAACAATAGTTTCAGTCAAACTGCTCTTGTTTTCTAGTGAACACTTAATTTGGATCTATTTTGAAGTTTTTTTTTATTGAATTCTATTATTGTTTTCGATAGAGTTTCGATGGAACAACAAATATGAGATGATCCAATAACTGAATGAAACAGAATTAAAATTTGGAAATATTTCTCAAAGAATTTCATTGATATGTGTTGAGAATTTATGACTAAAATTATGAAGAATACCATTGGAATATATGATTAACGGATATGGTACGGTTCTTCGGATAAATAATCAAATAATTTAACTTATGTATCTCTTAAATTGTATAATGGCTTTGTTAATCATTTTGAATTATTAATGAAAGATATTTTTCAATCAGTACAAATTTTATGTTTTACATCAATACATGAGGCTATAAATGACGATAATAGATATTTCGATGACAATCGTTGGGAACAATTAATTTCAAATCATCTTGAGGGTGTTTTCTTGGTTATTTTCCAAATGTAAATAAAGTAACTCTGGCTGATACATTTCATATATCTCGAAATTTTATTTTAAATAATTTTAATCGAATTATTCCATTAAAATAAATAACAAAATTAATTCTTCATTGTCATCATTTATTATTTGAACAAATTCTTGAATTACTTTCTCATACAATAAATGTTCAAACGTTAGAATTTGATTCTTTATTACTTAGTAGAACTAATTCTCTTTTATTTCAACAAAATCAACAATTTCAATTTATATCAAATAGAAATAAAATTGAGGGTGTAGGTGTGGGTGTTAATCCGGGTGTATGACGTGGGTGTGGATGAGGGTGGATGTGAGTTGGGTGTAGATACGAGTATAGGATGTAGGTGTGGGTGAGGATGTGGTTACGAGTGTAAGATATAGGTGTGGATGTGACTGTGGATGTGAGCGTCTTGAATCTATTACCCACACTCACACCCATACGATAATACAAAAGGGAAAAGTGAAAGAATGTTGTACGCTTACAGCCATACCATGTTGAATACACCAGTTCTCGTCCGATCACTGAAGTTAAGCAACATCGGGCTTGGTTAGTACTTGGATGGGTGACCGCCTGGGAATACCGAGTGTCGTAAGCTTTTTTTATTTTTTCTACAATTAAAATTATTGTAGTATTTTTACAGTTAGATGTCATTCATATAGATCTCCTTCTCTCGAACGCATTTTTTTTTTTATGTTTACAAAATTTCAGAGCACAGCATCCTGAACTTTTCAGTAAATACTGTATGAATTATATATTGCATATCGAGAATTAGTAGGTATAATATTCATAGCAGTTACACTTGAAAAGCATCTATACGCGTTAAAACATTTTATTTAAATATTCACCTACTTGATTTAGATGTTGAAGGTAAAATTCTTGAAATTTTTAGATAATAAAATAGATTGTATTAATGAAAATGGATTCCATATACATCCAGCTCAGAGTATGTACAATAGTACGAAACAGTCGATACATTATTTTGGTATTAGATTTGTAATTTGCGTTCTTGATGAATAATAATCGCCGTTTTCTCATTTTCACTAAAGTTTTAATTCATCTGTCGTGATGAACTTAGATAATACAAAATGGATAAGTGGAAGAATGTTGTATGCCTACGACCATACCACTTTGAATACACCAGTTCTCGTCCGATCACTGAAGTTAAGCAACGTCGGGCTTGGTTAGTACTTGGATGGGTGACCGCCTGGGAATACCGAGTGTCGTAAGCTCTTTTTTATTTTTTGATATTAACTTCTGAAATCACTATCGTATTGAGGGTGTAGGTGGGTTCCAGCGTCTTTTTTATTGAGGTCCACATTCACACCCTCAAAAAAGATGTAGGCGATTTTTGCTAGAATCTTTTCTAACATTCAATGCTTTGCTTCCTATGTCTTTATTATTCAGATCAATAGACTGCACTGAGAACAAAAAAACAAATAGCACTCGTCCGGCGACTCGCTCAGCTCTTTCTCGTAGAATTGATATGCCTTCGCTACAAGTAAACTATTTATGTAAACAGTTTTAAAAGTCGACTTCAGATTTGAGTTCCACTATCTTGATAATCGTTCGATCAACTCTTATACAAATATCTTTTTGTAAAAGAATTGACCCGAAAAAGATTTAAAAAAGCTAAGACTAGATTCGAGTTTCTCGATCTCAATAACACTTCGGTCAACCATTATAAAAAAATTCCTTTCATATATTTACCTAACTTTTGGATCCAATCATTGAAGTGTGGATACACAATCAAGCAAGCAGACAATTTATATTTGCAAGACTCTTCTCTACGAGAAAGAGAACAACTTCCAATTAAAAATATTTGTTATCATCATGAAATCATAGAAAAATAGAAATAAAATCTATATATCAACTAGTTCTTTACATAAAAAAGTGAAAAACAAAAAACCAATAGTTATTTGAATTGCCATTACTCGTAGAACCGAATACTATCGTCAAAATTATCTGAAAGCATTATTATATACAAACGTATTTAATTTAAATTTACAGAAATAGACTTTCTGATAAAATGTTTGGCATCGATCTGTTATTAATGCCAAAGTTTACAATTGTGTAATGTCAAATTAAAGTTCTCCTTAGTTTATTTGCTTTAATATACTTAAAGATTCTACTTAATTGTAATATTCGATTCATGTGCTTTGACTCCATTTTTTGCCGTTCTGATTTGCAGGCATAATATTTATCAAATTGTAAAGATGAAATTTTATAAACTAACTTTTCTTGTCTTGTTTTCCTTTTTTGCCATGTTTTTCTAAAGTATAGATTGATTTAACAACAATGCAAGTGTTTTACATATTTGTTTAATGATAATACCTAACGTTGTTAATTGTTTTGACTGGCTATATATTATATTAGATACTAATCTGATATCATTCTCTAACGAACTGCGTTATGCCTGCTTCACATATACTTCTGTTATTAAATACAAAGGATACCATTTTCTTGAGCAAATTTTCAACACTAGGTGTGAGGCGTGTATCCTCTAATGAAATGTGGAGTGTGAAGATGATCCTGACTCCCACAGTCGATCCCGTTTATTGAGAAACAGTTCGTTTATATAGATGACAGCGAACAAAGACAAACTATCTACACATGGAATCTTCCCTAGGTGATGACAAGCGAAAAGGGAATATTCCATATGAGATCTTGAGAAGAGAGAATGATCGTATGTGTGAAGAAAGAGGAGAACGCAAGGAAAAATCCCTCATCATATATATATATATATGTATATATATATATATGATAGAAGAGGAAAAATCCATCACACATCACAAGGGAAAACACCAAGAATGACAAGAGAGAGAGAGAGAGAGAGAGAGAGAGAGAGAGAGAGAGAGAGAGA